GGGACCGGGCTCGGGTCCTGGTTTTGGAGGCCCGGCCGGGTCGGGCCCGGGCCCGGGCCTAACGGTCCACTTTTTAAAAAAAAAAAAATTTTTTTTTTTGGATTGTTTTGGCTCAAACGGCTACCCCAAACGGCTATATAGCCGTTGGGTGTACCAGGGGGGGTCAGGGGGGTTTGGGTGGGGGGTGGGGTGGGGGGTTGGGGTGGGGGGTGGGGGTTAAAAAAAAAAACCTATAAATACTCCTAATTTTAAACATTTTTTCACACCTCTTCTCCAACTCTTCTAAATCCTACTCTCTACTCATCTCCATTCTCCAATTCTCCATATTCATCTTCTCTAATTCTCTTATTCTCCTTTATATTTTATTTTACTATTTAATACTTATACAATTATTATATCTACTTATATATTAATTATCTACTTATATATATTATTATCTACATATACTATATTGCTTATATTTCTTATCTACTTAATTTCTACTTATATCTCTTAATACATACATACATACTATATCTACTTAATATATACTTTATATAATAAAGTATTAAATATACTTTATAAACTATTATTATATACTTAATACATAATAATATCTACTTCTCTACTTATATTTTATATATACTTATTTTCCAATCTCCAATTCTCCATTATACTCTAATATTTAATTCTTATACAATTATTATATCCACTTAATACATACATTCTACATCTACTTAATATATATTTATATATTAAAGTATAAAATATAAGTGTATTACTCATCGTATAGTATAGTATACTTATATATTATATAATATAAACATTATATTATATATTACTTACTATAACTAGTATTATACTAGTTAATTAGTTAATTAGCATTCTTGTTACATTTTTCATTATACTAGTTAATTAGTTCATTACCATTATTGTAACATTTTTCATTATACTAGTTAATTACTTAATTAGCATTCTTGTTACATTTTTCATTATACTAATTAAAATACTTCACATTTTATTTAACTAGTTGTTAGTTTGTTACATTTGTCACTATACTAGTTAACTACTTAATTAGCATTGTTGTTACATTTTTACTTGTACTAGTTATTTACTTCAAAAGTTGCTATAATTTTAATTGTAGAGACACACATTAATTCTACTTTGCAAAAAATTAGTTTGAAGTATTAATTAAAATAGTTTTAATTAGTTGCATTAGTTTTGTATCCATTATTATATTTGTTGTGAATTAATATTTGTTACATTTTTTAGATGGAAGGTGGTAGATATTCGGTTGATTTGGGTAACCTCCAACGCAATCGAAGAAACGAGATTGGGAGGAAGAAATCCCGCAAAGGTAAAGAACTTGCCGGGTCTTCATCTCAAAGCCGAGATGATTTTGAAACGGGTTACCAAAGGCGAGATGGAGATGCGATGTCCGAAGAACAACTCCAACAAGAATTGGCCCGACATAATAACCGCTTTCTACAACAACAACAAATGCCGACGACCATTGACGAAGAGGAGCTTGAGGATGAAGATGCGGAGGAATTGGAACCGGAGACGGCCGAGGAGGAGGGTGCCGGCAGCCACGACGCCGACGCGCCTGCCTCATCCCAAACCGCCACCGGTAATAAAAAAAGTAAGTCTGAATTAATGCAAAATAATTTTGATAAATGGAAGGACCCACAAACTGGCTATTGGCACGCAACTTGCAAGTGGTGCAACAACAATTATAGTTTGGGAACCTCCGGCGGATACGGATCCGCCGCAAGGCATCTTAAGTCAAAGCACCCCGTGGAGTACGCAAAATTAGGCGGCGGAACGGGGAAGCAAACTCAAATATCGAGGTTTGCGAATTCTCAACCTTTTGGTAATTTCGCCTACAATGATGCACAAAATTTGACTGGTATGGCTAACTTAATTTGTGAAGAAAATTTGCCTTATTTGTTTTCTGAAAGTCTTGCTTTAAGAGATTATGCACAAGGTAGTTTAAATCCTCAATTTAGAAATTATAGTCGCAAAACTGTTAAGAAAGAAATAATAAGGCTTTATAATGCGGAAAAGGAAAGGTTACAAAATTTTTTTGCAAACTTTGATGGGCGTGTTACTATTTGTTCTGACATATGAGAGGATGATTTTCATCATTTATATTATTTGGGTCTGACTGCACATTATATTGATGAGGATTGGAATATGCATAAACGTGTTCTTGCTTTTCGTGAATTTAATGATCGTCACACCGCTGAACATATTTATATTTTGATTGAGCGTATTTTAATTGAGTATAATTTGATTGATAAGGTGTTTGCTATTGGTTTCGATAATGCTACTAATAATACTGCTGCTATACCTAGATTGCGTGAGTTGTGTGGTGCCAATTCTTTGATGGGTAGATTTTTTCATCAACGGTGTGCATGTCATGTTATAAATTTATGTGTGCAAGACGGTTTAAAAGCGTTAGGAGATTCCATGGAGGTAATAAAGGGGGGGGGGTTAGACGTATTTGGGGTAATGGTCAACTTAGATTAAAATGGCAAAGTTATTTGACTGAAAGAGGTGTGAGATATGTTGCTTTTCCTAAAGATTTGAGTATTCGTTGGAATAGTACTTATAAATTACTTAAAGTTGTTCTTAGATATAAAAAACATTTTCCTGCTTTTTTAAAAGAACATGATAACTATATTATAAACGCGGCTGAGATCGACACTTGCGAAAAAATTTGTAATGTTTTGATATATTTTTTTAATGCTACTGAAACTTTTAGTCATGTTTATAAACCTACCGCAAACCAATTTATTCCACAAGCTGTTAATCTCGCCGATGCTTTTAAAGAATTTCAGAATGCCGTTTTCGTTCATTATTTTTGTGATCATATGAAGGAAAAGTTTTTAAAATATTATGCGCATATTCCCCATATTTATGGTATTGCATTTATTCTCGATCCTCGTTATAGACTTGCTAATTTGGAAGATTGTTTCAACTTCTATTATCTTGCGTTTTTCGGTGAATTTCCAATGTATGAGGATAACCCCATAGATCCGAAAACGGAATACAATGAGGTTAGTACTTTATTTTATGCCTTATTTAATGAGTTTCGTGCACAATATAGCAACGCTCCCCCTCCCCCGTCACGAACATCTTCATCTAAAGGAAAATCGATTTTTAAATCTGCATTTGGCAATCTTATGAAAAAAACTAAAACAACTCACGTCACTGAACAAAGCGCATTGAATGAGATTACTTTGTATTTAACATATGAAGTTGATTTTGAAGAAAATGATGACTTCGATGTTCTAGACTGGTGGAAGTCAAAAGAAAGAACGTTCCCGATTTTAGCACGGATGGCTAAGCAAGTACTATCAATGCCGGTTTCAACAGTTGCTGTGGAACAAGAATTTAGTTCGGCCGGCAACGTCCTAACGGCATCTAGATCGAGATTGAGCGCGGAGTCTCTTGAGACGCTTATATGCTACCACGATTGGTTGAAGGCCGCACGTAGAACTCAAGAATTGAGCATCACCCCCTCCCAAGATTTTATGGATGACTCAACAACCGATGGTGGCTCTACCTATGCCGGAGATTCCGATTGATTAGTATTTTAGAATTTAGTACAAAATGTATTTTATAGCACTTGTCAAATTTATTTATACTTGTACTTCATATTTCAAAATTGTAAACTTGTACTTCATATTTCAAAATTGTAAATTTGTAGTTGTAGTTCAAATTAATTTGTAAACTTGTACTTCATATTTCAAATAAATATGTGTTCACTTTTTCATATGTAGCACTTCTCAAATTAATTAATTGGTTACAATCTAACGACTTAAAATTATTTTTCTAAAATATAAAGCCGGTTTTTAAATTAAAAATACATTTAGAATATGTAATTTGTTTAAATACTTATACACCTATTTTGTAACATTTGTTTTAGTTTTACTTAATTCATTAAATTAATTAATTTATTTTACAATATGTGTATAACTTAAAAAAAAAAAAAAAAAAAATTCAAAGCTCCCAAACGGCTATATAGCCGTTGGGGCTATGGGTGGGGGGCAGGGGGGTCCCGGGGGTGGTGGTGTGGGGAGTGGGGTTCAAAAACACCTATAAATACATCTATTTTCTAACATTTTTCTACACCTTCTCTCCAATTCTTCTCAAACTCTTCTCCATCTTTATCTTCTCTTATTATCCTACATTCCTACTTAATTACTTATAGTGTTATACATATACCATTTTAAATATGGAAAGTACATCTTCTCTTATGCAAAACAATTTTGACAAGTGGAAGGACCCGAAGACCGGACTGTGGTGGGCAACTTGCAGGTGGTGCAAGAAAGAGTGTTGCTTGGGGGGTTCATACGGATACGGGATGCCAATAAAACATATGAAGTCTTGTGACAAAGGGAAAACAACAACCAACGGTGGCGGAAATCCCAATTGATATTCATTACAAAATGTATTTCGTATTGTTATTTTTTTCTCAATTCTCAAATGTAGTTCTTATTTCAAATAAATGCACTTGAACTTTGTTTTTAATAGCAATTTGTATAATATATAATTAATATAAAAAAAAAAAATTTATTGACCCGGCCCAGCCCGGCCCGGCGGGTGGCCCGACCCGTGACCCGGGCGGGTGACCCGGCCCGGACCGGAACCGGTCATTGACCGGGCCGGTCCCGGGCCTACCCTTATAGGACCCGAGGCCCGACCGGGCCTTGACCCGGCCCGGGCCCGACCCGGCCCGGGTCCATGCCTAACATATAACATTAGCAAGAGTATTAATAGACTAGTCTTTTTTACAATAAATAAATAGCCATTAGATATCTCCTAAATAGTTCTCAACTAAAGCTTTTTTATATGAATAAGGCCTATTCCAAACAAAATCCAACATGTATTTATAAAATATCGTCATCATTCTAAATGGAAGATGGTATTAGGATCTGTACGATCATGTGTGTGCTAGAATCTCCTGATTCACACAAGTTCTGTCCAATTATGTGTCAACACTATTCCTTCATCTAATCTAAAAGTTTTTTTTTTTCATTTTATTGGCATTTGAAAATTGAATGTCATCAATTTTGATATAATTGTGCTTTGTTTTTCATTTACATCAATTTACACGTAAGAAGTGGACAATGTGTAGACAAATCCCTTGTAGAATAACAAAACTTACAAAAGGAACTACCCAGATTCTAACATCGTCTTAAATTATAAAACAATTGATGTGTTCTTCAAATGTTATGTTTTGTTGTACACTAGTCCTGTCAAAGCCCTTCAAATGTTGGTCTTTGTTGTGTATTACTACCTCCGTCCCAATTTGATGGTCCTAGTTCATATTCACTTGGTCAACACAAGTCACTCTTAATCACTTACTTTTTATATCAAATTTTTATCAAATTTGATTTAGGCATTTACGACTTTGTAAAACTTTTAATGTAGTTTCTGAATATGTAAATTTTATTTGCTACAAGAAATTTGTGTGCGGACAAGGATTCGTTTGCTTTATCGTCGATCAAGCCTCGTAAACCGCAACAGGACCTTCAAATTGGGACAGGAAACAACTATTAAGCTCGTATATAGAGGCAAGGGTCATAATCCCAGGGCAACATGCTAAACATGATTTCAACTGTCATCGCAAGTCAAGAATGATGTGAAGATAAGAGACTGCCACCTTTTTCCAGCAAAATACATTTCAATTAAGATCGTCGGGCACGATCACGCCATGAAACCCCTTGCATTGCCATCACCTACCAGATGAGACAAATATTAGTATAGACAATAAAAACTTAACTTAGATGTATTCTGTTCAGTTATTTCTTTTCACTATTAATATATTACTCATTACTCAATGTTATCTTAATATATCAGACGTGAAACAAGAAACATTCATATTGGAATAGATATAATTCTAATATATTCCTGACAAGAAACATGGACAAAGATCAAAAGAAACATTGACCATACCAAAGGCAATCAAATCAGATTGAACTAGAATAATTCAGACAAAATCAGATTAGTCAATGTCTAAAAAATCACATTTTTTCAGTCAAATGGAACAGGTCGTTAACATGTAGAGTTTCAGAAACCCAGTATTGTCCATGAATACTGTTATCACATAAAGCACGCTAAAATAAAGAGATCAATGCATGTCATCCTATTGCGTAAAAGAGGAACATTGGATGTCATCACATTTTTCCAGTCGAAGGGAACAGGCCCTTAACATGTGGAGTTTCAGACACCCATTAATTGCCCATAAATATCGTTACCACATAAAGCATGCTAAAATAAAGAGATCGCTGTATGTCATCCTATCGTGTAAAAGAGGAGCATTAGATATAGCCACTAATTTCCGGAGTGACAACTCAAAGTATTGCAGTTTGCACTAACCTGGTCACTGATGAGATTCGTCAAAGGGTCGCTTTCAGGGGTTTTGACATTCTCTTTTTCTATTTCATCATCAGCATCATTGAAAGGTGGATGTGAAGCAGTTCCATCAACATTCTCGTCATGACGTGAGCAACCAAAAATAGCCTCATCATGAGCAGCCTTGATTCGGTCTTCCCTTCTAGCCTTCAAAATGATAAAATATGTTAACTAACTTCACCTCTCTCTCTCATGTTACTAAAAAATGAGGAAAATAAATGCAAAATACAAACTTCATCCAAGTGATGGCCATGAGATGTGATATGAAGAATTAAACAGAATGAAAAAGCTTCTACCTCCATTGTAGAAAACCGAAAAGTTTGACCAATGTGTTTGACTAACACTGCATCATCTTCTGCAACTGCAAGCAGAGAGATAGTACAGTTAGTTTCTCTCATATAGACATATACAAGAGCTTAATAATACGCATCATAGAACTTAATATGGAGTTCAAACACATAGATAAACCGCTAATGTAGTCAAAAGCGCACGCCTGGGTGCTTCAGCGCACCAGACGAGGCACAATAGAGGTACAGCGCCTAATAATCTTCCAGCCAAGGTTAACTGTGTCAGGCACAATATAAGCGCAAATAGTGCAGAAATGCTAGCAGTGCACGCCTGATTCGACTGGGCTGGGAAAGGCTTGTCAGCCTAGTTTTCTATTTGCAAACAAGACCTGGGCCTATTTTAAATAAAGTCATAAACCCATATTTTTAATAAGATACAGCCCATCCAGTAATAGGTTATATCAACACAAACCCAGATCAAAGCCTTCTCAGAAGCCACAGTAACAGTTCTCATCGAGACTCTCCTGTGCTCAACCAACGCAACCTTTTCTCTAATGCGCTCAGCTCAAACTACACGCGACAGGCAGAAGGCAGAAGATATTTCTCCTTCATCTTCTTCTCATTTTTTTTTTTTTTCATCTTCTAGTTTTATTAATTTGTTTTTTCATCTTGTTCTTTTCATTTTCTTCTTACCATCTATATTCTTTCTTACTTCTATCAGTTATTTGAAGTCTATTGTATACTGCTGGAAGACCATTTGCACAATTCCAGTGTTTACTTTATAGTTCTTTTTTTTCTATAGACTGGATACTTCCAGTAAACTTCCGGTCTATATACTTCCAGTATATGCTATACAGTCTATATCATTTCATATTGTCATATGGATACTTCAATATTTCATATAGTCTAAATCATATCATAGTTTCATACAGTATATATCATGTCATTATTTGTATATGTCCTTTCTTTATTTGTATCATTACATTCAAGTGTATCTTTAATCTTTATATCTAATATTGTTGTTATCTGATGGGCTGAATGGTATAGGCAATATTTTCTAAACAGTGCGCCTGACATGAGTCAGGTGAGCGCTTCAATTGCGCCTCAGGCGCTGGAGTGCCCTAGCACCTTGAGTGTGCCTCATGACTATAACTACCTTGTCAACCACAAACAAAATGTAACTAGGACTTGGTTGAGTTTAGGAATAAATATCTGCATATTAGTTGAATTATATGCACCTAGTTCATAATATACACGTACTGTTGTAATCAACAGTTCAAAACGGTGCACATAGTAACACACCCTTGTTTAGGACCTTTCCTCTAACATTAAAGTATTTGACAACCTATGGAGGTCAATGCACCTTCATAGCTTCATGAAGGCTAATTTGATTTACATAAACTGTTTTTCATCTATTGTACTTCATGTAACCCATCAGATGACTACACAAGGTCAATTTAGAGTGTATCTGTATGTGTGCATTTAAGTTTCCCAACTTCAAGAGCTCTCTTTGTTCTTTAATTAACTAGCATCAGTGTTAGTAGATAAACTTAGTGTGGTCATGAATTATCTACAATAAATGGACTAATTTAAATAATGGGGTAAGACCAGAGTGAAGGAAACAATAGGTTCATTTTGAACTCAATCCATCTCAACTCAATCTTAAGATACTCATATATTATAAGTATCAAACTAACAATCACAAATAGCAACCATGCTCGCTGTTAGCAATGCCTTTTTCTTCCCTTTAGGAGGTAGTAAACTAAGGAGGATTTAGCCATTTAGTACCTCAGAAATCAGAATACATGCTCCCCCCCCCCCATCCCATAAAAAACATCATGAATCATGATAGAAATAGAAGAAATTAGAAGAAGCTTATTCACACTAAAATAGTTTTATTTAAAGAAATAGAACTAGTTTTTCATGTGATTACATGACTTATTTAATAGTAGTATGGTAGTACCTTGCCAAAAATAAAAAGTTTGTATCTCCGCCATATAAGGTTCTTTTTGGGATGGATGGAGCTTCAAATTAATATATAATCAGAATAGTAGCAGGACAGCTAACCTTCAATCTCCTCATCATCCAGAGGAGCATCCTTGTTAAAGTCGAAACGTTCCCATCCAGAACCCATTCCATTTGCTTCATCTCTCTCGGCTGTTATTAGGATAACAACAACATCCAAACCTTAATCCCAAAAGATTTTGGGTAATAGGGATAAAAGATACAAGAATGCTAGATGATGATGGTGATGATGATGATGAAAAAACCACAAAATGACAAAAGTCTACTATTACTACAAAAAACTTGAGGTGCTATGCAGCTGTGAGGTGAGGGTAAGCCTCAAGGCAGTTTGAGGCATAATCCTCAAACTTTATTGGAATTGCCTTTACCGTTCCAAATTATTGACATTCTAAAACATATTATCAATCATACATAAATGATGTATACATTTCTACAAAATGTAGAGTAGTTGTAGCCTTGTAGGTTGATGGCAAATTATGCGCAAAGTACTACTACCTTCATTTAATTAAGTGCGAGAAATTCATCATTATAGGTTATGTGAACTTTTTAAGTAGAGCTGTATGATGATGATGATGATGATAAGTATTGGTTTTGGAAAATAAATTCTAGGGCTTTAGATGGGCTTGGTGATACAAATATGGGGCTTACAAAACGCTACAAGCCTTATAAGCCCAGCCAACGCCTCAACCAACTAAGTCTTAGGCTAAAGTCACGGTTCATTTGTTGAATGCATTTTTCACCGCCTCAAGTTAAGGCCTTTTAAATAAGTCTCAAAAAAGGATTTTAAAACCATGATATTCCACACAATGGGAACAAAACACACACTTAGAGTGAAGATGCACTTACCAGTTTCAGATAGCTGTAATTTCATTTTGGCTTTAACTCTTTCAGCTGGAGTCTGTTGATAATAACAGCAACCCAAAATCTCTTAACATATGTATATATAAAGTTGCAACATAGAACATGTCTAAGCATTATTATAGAATCTATAAAGGTTAAGTTTCACATACGCATTTATGGAGAATCAAATTTAAAAGGTCGCTTTTTATTTTGTTTTAGTAAATGAACAAATGAAGCATACCATTTTGTCATACCCGTCAATCACCGTGGCATAATCAACACATTCTTTTCTACCCTTTCCAGCCTTAGACTTCTTCTCTGATCTTGCATCTGGCGGTGACACATTCCTATTCTTCCTCCTCTTGTCCCTCTCTTCATCTGAACCACTACTAGACCTCCTCCTCCTCTCTTTAGCTCTCTCTCTACTTCGACTTCTAGACCTATGTCTGCGGTTAGAGCTGTCGTTCCTGCTTCTAAGACTTGAATCTTTCTCCCTATCTTTACTCCGGCTCCGGCGCTTAGAATACCTCTCTCGGCTTCTACTCCGGCTTCTTCCGCGCGAGTGAATTTCACGGCTAGGGCGCGAATGTTTACTGTCACTATGCCGGTCCCTGGAAACCCTCGAAGCAGAAATGGATTTGTCTTCTTCTTTAGGTTTCTTCTTCAGCTTGTTCTGGATTGTGTGAAGCTGGTGCTTTTTCTCTGCCTCTTCATTCTTCGAAGGAATCGACTCTCTGACGAACTTACTGTGGAAGGAAGCGGCGGAAGGGATGGCAGAGCCTACGGAAGGGACGGCGTCGTTTGAGCTGGATGCGGCAGAAAAGCCCAGACCTTGCTTGAATCGAGCAGCGCCTCCTCCTTTTCGAGAGAGCTCGTCATAGTAGGCCGCCGCCTTTTCTTCATCCATTGAGATGGGGTTGGTGGCGTTGGACGGCTGTGTCGGGAATGGACACTACTAGGCCGAGGGAATTGGATCACGGGTCAGTCCGGGACTCGACAAGTCAAGTGGTTAATGAAAATTGGTTTTATTTATGGTAGATTCTATGGTACTCATAACTAGCGCGGTTAACGAACCGAGCTTTTATCGAACTATTCGAGCTCGAGCTCGGTTTCGAACCTAACGAGCCGAGCTTAACGAGCTTTCGAACTCGAACCCGAGCTGAGTTTTAAGTTCGAAAAGTTAATCGAACCGAGCTCGAACATAGTAGTATTCGGCTCGGTTCGAACTCGAGCCTATCGAACACCCTAAAATTTTAAATATAATTTATATATATTTCAAAATTAAAATATAATTAGTATGAATTTATGAATTTAAATATGATTATTAACGAACCGAATACTTGTCGAATCATTCGAGCACGAGCCTATTAACGAGCATTGCCTAAAATTTTAAATCTAGGCATATTTATCGAGCTTATCGAGCGCTCGGTTCGAACATCGAACGTCTATCGAGCCGAACACGAGCCTCATTTGTAAAGCTCGCCGAGCTTCGAGCTTGAACACGAACACCCCTAATTCCTTAACGAGCCGAATTCGAGCTTTGGGTGTTCGGGCTCGGCTCGGCTCGTTAACACCCCTACCCATAAGGTACCATACTTTTGTCCACATGGACCAATGAGAATGTAGCAGTTGAATTATTTAAATCTAAATTAAAAATGATATATTGATGTGGTCCAATCAAATGAATGATAGGTACGGTACCCCATATTTTAGAAAGGTACCGGAGTTATCACCTTTATTTATTACATTTTTTATTTTTTATTGAGAAAAGTGTCAAATCGCCCCCGTACTTTGTACGGCCAGGCAATTATACCCTCCTACTAAAACTTTCGTCAATTAAACCTCCAAAGTATGTTATTTTCTCCAAATCCTCTTTTCAACAGATTAACTCCCGGTTTCCCTTTGGAGTGCTGACCTGGCGTCTACGTGGAAGTAAGGTAAGGTTTTTAAATACACTGAACTAACACCTTCGTCCTCTTTATTCCTACCAACAACCAATCTAGGTTAGAACTGATTTATTACCCATCTTTCAATGTCATCTTCATCTGCTTCAACGGCGAGTAAAGGACAAAGGTCTACCCTCGAGTATGAGCCGGCCGTGTATTGCTTTTGCGGATTGAAAGCTCCGCTTTGTGTTGGGCGGGACAGTGGCAGAAGCTTTTATGGGTGCCAGAAATGGAAGGTAAAGTTAACAGAAATTGATGTTGCGTGACCAAGGTTTAGGTTATTGATGAAATATTCATTCTCTCCATTCGGTTCTTGTTCAATTTCAGGGTCATGGGTGTGATTTTTTTGAATGGCAGGATGCTATACCAACAAAACCTATACGTAGGGGTGAAGACATGATGATACGAAACACTGATGAATTGAAGGTTTTAATTTCAGGGCTTGTTGACCATCATCGTGCTTTGGAACATAAAGTTTGTTGCCTTACATGCAACAGTTATTGAAAACAAGGAAAAGAGTCCAAAATGTTCAGACAAATGTGTGGTTTAACTATGATGGTTGGAGTGGTAATTGTGGGAGTCATGTATATGTGGACTCACAAACATAACTGCATGTAACTGTAGTGGGTTTTCCTTGTGATGGTATGAATGTGATAATAGTAGGTTTCCTTGCAATGGTACTATGAACTACTTATTATTAGTTTGAGAGTCTCTTAAGTTTGATAATAGTTATTCTTATAATGTTGTAGTATGAAGTACTTATGAAGTAGTATGAAGTAGTTACTCTTTGTAATGGTATTCTTACTTTGATAACATTTGGATTTATTGAAATGGTAATAGTACTCTTCCTGTACTTTGTAGTACTTTGTTTTGGGTAATGTACATAGCTGTTTTTTATAGATGCTTGTAACATTGGTTGAACTTTTTTTACCATTTCTTTTTTACCATTTTGGTGTAGTGGTATGAATGTGGTGTAAGGGTTCTCGCTGGGACCGAAATGACATGCATAGAACTTCAACAAAGATTCCCCCTCTTTGCAAATAATTGAACCCAACTCCACAACAAAAAGGACACCCCCAATGAGCTGTTTTTTGACCTACTATAAAGTACATAATAAAGACCATACAATAATGCCATTACTCCTACAATGTCAATTGACAACCATAAAGCAAAAGTATCCCTTACAACAACCGGACATACTGCCATATGGCCCATACATGGCATTGAAACCATCATCAAGTTTATAAGTTAAACCACATCCACTAGAGTTTCTAGCAAAACATAGAAAACCACATCTGTGTCCACCAAAACAATACAACACCACAAGGTTTGAAGCAAAAACATACATCACAACATAAAGTTTCCTGCAAAATACATTATGAATACACCACACTGTGGCTAGAGGTCAACTACGGTTATCTGGTTCTGCTTCATCATCAACACACCACTCTCTCACTTGGTTGTCCGGGCTGCAACAAGGTAAGAACACAGTTAGTTTGGAAGTATAACTACAAGAACTGATTCACACCTAATTCAGAATTTAACTTACATCAACAATGGTTTCACCAGTGTGCTCATCAAAGTAAACACCAAAGCCTCTTTCCCCTCTTTTCCCTCTTCCCCTTCTTGGTCTGCCTCTCTGTATCTGCCCCCTTCCCCTTTGTTCTCTCCTTTGATGGTCTGTGTTCTGACCATCACCTTGCACTGCACTTGATGATGGTTGTGAGCCAGATGTTGCTGTGGTGTTGTTGGTGCAAGACTTTTTGTTGTGACCCTCTTGTTTGCAATTCGAACACTTCATCTTTCTTCCTTTTCTTGGAATGTGTGTAGCACCTGTTGGCAGTTCAGTCTCTTCACGAGCTCTCTTCTTCTTTGGCCTCCCACGCATCTTCTTTGGTAAAGGAGCCACAATCTCCTCATACTCACTTCTTGGCCACATTAACTCTCCATTAATGGGTTGAAGGGCGTATGCATATGTTTTCTTGTACATCTCCTTCGAATAACACATGTGCACATAGTTCTCTGGATCTTCCCCCTTGTCAAAAATGGCACAGATAGCATGTGCACAAGGGATTCCTGACAAATCACATCTTCTACATGAACATGTTTGTGTCATTAGACTCACTATGTACTGGTGTCTTCCCTTCTTTATCTCATAACCATCATCTCCATTGAAATCTACATGCCACCCATGGCTAGCTTGAATGCTCTTGTTCAACTTTTTCAAGATTGCTGGGCCATATTGTCCTGCAAATGAAGTCATGAATCATCTCATTATGAATATTAGTATCCCTAAAATATGTGCAATGTCTCTGATCTATGTAATGAAGCCCCTACAGGAGGTTTGTATTCAAGTAAAGCCATATACAGTTTTGCCTCTATTCAATTAAGCCCTTTAATATTCACTCAGTTCTCAATTAAGCCCTTTACAGTAATAATTTTAATTCAATTGAGCCCTCCCCAACTCAGATGTGCTGGGCACTGTAACAAAGTAAAAGTAGACCTGTGCAAAGCTACTTTAATAAAGTGTCTTTAATAAAGTGACCTACCTTTCCACTTGTTCACAATCTTCCTTTTCCTAGCAATCCTCTTCATCATACCCACTCTTATATCCTCCAGCATGGGAATAAGAGGTTTAGATCTGCATTTCACAAGGGTACTATTGAATGCCTCACTTAAATTGTTGTCTGGATTGTCACACTTCACTTGTGTCCTGAAATATGCCATGCACCATAATTTCATTTCATACATGCGCAGGTCCTTTCCAGCTTCTGCATCAGCTTTGTCCAACTCAGCCAATGAAGCCTCCAACTGTGGCAGAGAGGATGATTTTGCACACTTCCAAAATAAGTTCTTCATTAACAACCCACGATGAGTTTTGCTCCAGTTGGCATGAATGTGCCTGGCATAATTTCTGTGCTCAGCCTCAGGTAAGACAGTAGCTATGACATTTGCAAGACCCTGTACACAGAACATTAATTGAAGTTGAAATTAGAACTGAAAAAACAAAATTATAAATTATAACATCCATACTCACCTTTTGTTGGTCACTTATTATAGTCCAATCCGCTGCATTTGTAATTTGCAGGTCATCTTTAAGAACCATGACCAGGAAGAGTTCTTCTTAACAAAGCAGGTCATGTGTTTCAATTCCGTTATCACAAGAGAAGCCTGGCGCTAACGCCGTTAGAAATTGTCGGAGGAAGATGATGAACAGTAACTCTGATTTTAAAAAATGTCGGGAAAACTTAAAGAAAAATATTAGGAGGTGTGTCTCGTCAAGAAGACCTCCAAACAATCTTCCTCTTTGGAATTTTTGAATCTGCTTGGATTAAATTTAAAAAACAGATTCAATAATATGACTATTCATTTGGACTATCCGGCAACAAGGGTAATTGGAAACAAAAAAAAAGAAAGATATCCTCGACGTCGACTTGATGACGTGCACCTCTCAATATTTTTTCTTTGAATTTTCTGAGCAATTTTGAAATTCGGAGTTACTATTCATCGTCATCCTATGGTGATTTCTAACAGTGTTAGACATCAAGCCCCTTTTGTGATAACAGAAATGAAACACATGATCTACTTTGTTAAGAAATTAAACACATGACTCTATCTAAGAACGGGCTCAATCACATGCGCATTTTCTTTATTTTTCCTTAAAATAATGTTGAATAAAAAATCATTTATGAAATTTATTTTGGGCAAAAATTATTTCCCAAAATATTGTTAAGCAAATCTTGATTAACAAAATTGCCAATTGATTCGGCGACATAGGTAAGGATAGGAATCACGTTGCGCAGGACGGAGAGGAGGCACTCATGGGAAGTGGAATTTGGTTCACCCCTTCAAGAAGGGTGAACATCACCCCCTTGCCTCCCTTGTTGCCATGTGGCATTTCATTTCATCTTATTTTTAAATTGTTATAATTTTTTATTTATTAGTCAATTTTAATTAAAAAAAAATACTACATATGTATCATATTTAATAATTTTAAACATCTTCCCAATGGTATCAATATTGTACATAAAAAATTAAAAAAATGTTTTTCTAAATATTCATTTTTAGTTGGTTTTTATATTTTTCACCTGCAATATATTAGTATCATATGAAAGATATAAAAAAGAAATATTTGATTTATTTTTTACAAAGTTGGATTAAAATTGAAAAAGCTAAAACCATTGCCAAATAATGGAGAATTGTCTTTCCGTATGTTAGACAATTAGGGTGGGGTGGACAACATCAACACCCTCTTTATGAACATATTTTTTGTGAATAAAATGGCATACACTTCAAGATAAGTTGTCCATGTATTCTCTTTATAGTGATAAAGAAATCAAAGTTAATGTAGTTCTTTATTTTAATCATATAGATGATAAAGTTGTTAAAATAAAAAATATGATTGTAAATAACCTCAACTCTTGGGAATTTTCACTTGTCACATTGGTAGTGGTTTCTTCCATGAAATGATGTGGTTGTCTAATAATTCGTTTTTGTGTATGTTGTCTAATGAGAATTGTAAAACAATCATGAATGCAAGTGAGCGTTGGAATTGATTGCGCTCAATTGAGTCTTATAATTGGTATTACAGGTGCCACTAAATTCTTTTTCCACTGTAAGAGTTGATACATGCATTGATAGCACTTGTTTTGCCATTTGGTGCTGAAGTAACTATTGGTTATAATCAATTCAAGTTTTTTTGTGGGGCTATTAGATCGATCCAGCTAGCATGCAGTCTTGGACTTTCATCTTGGCATCTTACTTTGCCAGTTGGGCCGGCTTGAGCTCCTTAGTCACCGGGGCCCACTGGTCGGATTGGCCTAGTGAGACCATGAACTTGGTTTGGGCCTGCCGTTCTAGTTTGTGGGCCTGGACTCGTGGGTCCAAGTCCATGGCCAATGCTTATCAAGCTCTTGGTCTAATCCCATAATTTCATGAGAGGAATTGTTAGATTTTGTTTCATACTACATTATAATTAAAGCTATGACATATAGAGTAATTCTCTAGTGTCTCACACTTCATTTAACTCTTACCTCACGCCCTCAAATTTTTAGTATAAGGATGTTTACTTTTGAACTGAAATTTGCTAATTTGGTCTGATCTGATCTATTCTAGTCTGGTCTGGTAAATGTGTGGTCTTTTTGTATTTTATAACTACGAAAATCTACTCTGGTCTAGGACTACAAACAGTCCAAAAAAAAACATCCTAAATTTTTTCATTCTTTATATTTAATACTATCACTACGTATATCCGCTAATGTTTAAGCATAATGTAATTTCTCTTCGTGGGTCCATGCCCTAGTTCCATGAGAATGAGAATTGAACTCTCATTTCGGTACTTGCCTCGTGCAGGAGATAAAGAAAATTAAAATTTAAAAAAGTTTTTGCATGGAACTTTCTTCACCAGTTAAAAATGAAAGAAAGCAATGCAATTTAATTACATCCACGTACGTATGAATTAAGGTGCAGGCGGGACAGTGTGGGATATAGGGGAATGAATAGATAATGATCTGAGCAAAGAAGGAGCGTACGGTAAGGGAGATTAGGATGATGATATATGGTGCCGTGCAGTGGGGTGGGGTGACACAGTCCCAACACCCTCACATGGACTTACGTACTGATACACATATATACACAAAACCTTTCCTTAGCTTCTTTAATTTCCAGATG